GGCTATTTCATAAGGGAGTCATGGGTTTGACCTTTGTTAACTCTCCCAGCATCAACTCCCTATTGTTGTAGCCAACCACTGTAGGGAAGAGAAAGACTCAGAATGAAAGGTGTGATGTGACAGGGAGGAGATTGAACTAGATGTTCCCAAAGCAGTCTTCTCCTTCTCCTCCTCCTCCTTCTCTTCTATTGTTGTAGCCAACCACTGTAGGGAAGAGAAAGACTCAGAATGAAAGGTATGATGTGACAGGGAGGAGATTGAACTAGATGTTCCCAAAGCAGCCTTCTCCTTCTCCTCCTCCTCCTTCCTCTTCCTCCTCCTCCTTCCTCCTTTTGAAATGTTTGAAAGCAGATTATATTAAGTCACAGAAATCAGTATTAAATTATTCCTTCCTCCTCCTCCTCCGTCTCCTCCTCCTCCTCCTCCTCCTTCTCTTCCTCCTCCTCCTCTTCCTTCTCTTCCTCTCCTCCTCCTCCTCTTTTTCTTTCTTGCCCTCTCTCTTTAGACAGGGTCTCACTATGTTGTTCATGTCAGTCTCAAACTCCTGGGCTCAAATGACTCTCCCACCCCAGCTCCTAAGAAGTTGGCACTACAGTGCTGTTAGCCTCTTCTTATTTTAAAATCAGAAATAAGAAGGCCAGGGAGAATGAACCACTCAGAGGGAAGGGACTCAATCAGGGTGGAGCTCAGGCTAGGCTGCTCAAGGTGCCAGGGATGGCACCTGGCTGGGGACAGCTCTGACTGTATTTTCTGGGCAGGGCTTGTTTTCTGTGCTGATGCTGGCCTGGATCTTCCTTCCCATCTACATTGCTGGCCGGGTGAGTGTGGCGGGGACTGGGAACATGGCATGGGGACGTCCTTGGGAAGGCCAGCCTGTATCCCCTCCCTCCTACCCATGGACATCCATCAAGCAGCCACTAAGTTTCCTGACTCTGGGGACAGATGCTGCACAAGTGAGAGAGACCAAAGGAAGCAGGTCACACACCATCCTGGCTGATCAAAATCTGACCAAAATCCACGGTACACATGGGGGCTCAGGAATATCCTTTAAGTGCCAGAACACAAATGTAAATTTTACAGTCCCTTATATTTGTAAGTCATAGAATGTTGCTTTTAGTTAAAATGCATGCATATGTACACATATATACACACATACATTCATATGCTCATACATATGTGTGTGCCTATATATGTGATTGAGTGATTTTTTTCCCTTTTTGCACTCAAATCCATAATAATTGAGACATTTCTGACTTCTGGAATATCAGCATTATTGTTGCAGAGATGAAATATCTCTTTAGGTTTTCACGTGTGTGTTGGGCATGGAGTCCGGGGCCGATGAGCCACATCCCTGCCTCAGACTTCCTGGAAAGCAATTTGCAAAGGCTTTCTGAGGTTGCCGTTAGCTGTGTGTCACTCACGCTCCAGAGTGTTCAGTGTCGTCGTATGAAGAAAGATCACTCACAGAGCAATAACTGAATTTAACTTTCCATTATGGAAAGTTAAAAGTACAAAGTAGGAGGCACGTAACGGTCAGAAGCAAATACAGTCTGCCCACAGCAGAAGCGGCAGAGTCCACCTTGAAAACTGATAGTGTGGGCACCGGGATTGCGGTGGGGAGCCTGCAGAGTCTAAATTCCAGGCTTGAGTGAGCAGGGAGCCTGGGCCTGCTTGTGAACCCCTGAAAAATAGGGGTGTATACACAAAATGTACCAGAAGTCCCAACACAGGAACATGAATAAAAGGCTTGGGCCAAAGCAGCCAGTTTTTTTTTTAATTTCTAAAATATTTTTTAGTTTAATTACTAGTGTATATGTGTGATGTGAGTGCATGAGGGTAGGTGAATGCATGCTGTGGAGTGTGGATGGAGAACTTTTGGGAATCAGGTCTTTTCACCATGAGTTCCAGGGATTGGACTCAGGTCCAGGTTTGGACTGCAGGTGCCTTTATTGGCAATGCAGCAGTAGGGTTTTAACTGCACAGGCTATAGGAAGGGAAAGTGATTGAGGGATGCAGGTCGTTCATGGGGGTGGGGACTGACAGGGCTTCTCAGCTGATGGCCTCTGTTTTCTCTGTCAAGTAGAAAATACTGTCACCTGCTGGGGGAGGGGAGGGGAGATTGAGAAGAGCCAAGGAGAGCTGAGAAGGCTGGCTGCTGTAATTGTTTGCAATAGAAAAACCTGGAGCACCCACCATACCTTTCAGTGAGAGACAGGCATCCGTGCAATGGGGCAGCAAGCCAGGAAAAGAGGTGACATAAACACAGCTGTGCATATCTCTAAGCATTTTACTCCATAACAAGATAAAGGTGGGGGCTTCAGTGTAGATGGATGCAGCTCACTAGCCTAGCAAGCATGAACCCCTGAGGTCTACATACAGCACCACAAAATAAGTGAAACACAATAAAATTCCTGGGGACGGAGACATCCTTTAATTCTTTTCCGATACCCTCCAAGTTCGCAAAGGAGAGATTAGGTGCATGCTAGATAAGTGGCTCAAGGTTGCTGTTATTGAGAAATAAACACACAGTAAAACAAAAAGCACAAATGTGTCACTTAGCAAACAGTTGTAACGTTAACACCCACATCCATAAACCATCACCCTGGGAGCTTCCTTCCCTTGGTCATGACCACTCATTTCCTGGCTTTTCCCAGCTTATGTGTACAGTTTTAGTTATGCACATCTGTGCAGGAGTTTCATGTTACTCTTTAAAGCTGTATGTGATGAATCATGGGGACCATCATTTTGATGTGTGTAGCGGGTCATCCTCAGCTACAGAGTGAGTGCAGACCAGAGTCTCTGCTGCCCTGTGGGGTTGTGCAGTGTGACTCCAGCTTATGTGATCAATCATTCTGTTGCTTGAGGGTTGAATTTGTTCCCCGTGTTGGGCTGTGAGGGATAGTGTTGTTGGTGACATTTCACACATCCCGTTGTTTTGAGACAAGGTCCTGCTCTGTAGTCCAGGCTAGTGCTGGGACTAAAGGTCTGTGCCACCACGCCCCACTATTATTTTTATATCTCTCATTTCATTGTTTTGTAAATTCTGGAATTTACAAATTCAATTTTGGAAGCAGGTTCTTAGGGTACTTAGGAGTTGCAAACATCTCTATTCAGAGACTTGCCTTTTTGCCAGGGGGAGAGAGAGAGAGAGAGAGAGAGAGAGAGAGAGAGAGAGAGAAGCAGAAGCAGAGATAGAGAGAGACAGAAAGAGAGACAGAGACAGAGAGACAGAGACAGAAGACAGAATTGTGGAAGTCAGAGGACAACTTGTGGGAGTCAGTTATCTCTTCCACCCACCATATGGATTTCAGGGGTCAAACTCAGGTTGTCAGATTTGGACACATGTGCTTTTTACCAACTGAGCCATCTTGCCAGCCCCTCAATGATTCTTTAAGGTTTCCCCAAAGCTTTCTTCCACATAGGTGAGGTTTCCAGATAGCACAAAAGGGGATAGAGTTTGATCTTTGACCAAGAGTATCCCCTCAGGATTAAACTTGCCTTCCCGAGTTCCTCTCTTGTAAGGCATGGCTAGGGCAGGCTGATGGGGGACAAGGAAAGTGACCAGTCTTCCTCCCTGTTGACTGCAGACCCATGCCTCAATGGTGGTTCCTGTCAGGACAGCGTGGGTTCCTTTTCCTGCTCTTGCCTTCCTGGCTTTGCTGGTCCACGCTGCGCTCGAGATGTGGATGAGTGTTTGAGCAGCCCTTGTGGCCCAGGCACCTGCATAGATCACGTGGCCTCCTTCACCTGTACCTGTCCACCTGGCTATGGAGGCTTCCACTGTGAGAAGGACCTGTTGGACTGTAGCCCCAGGTTGTTGGAGCCTAGACTGGAAACCTGGGGGGGTGGTCTGTGATGGAGTTGGGAATTGAGGGCATCTTAGTCTTGGCATCTGTCTGGGGACTCTTGATGATGATGATGGGGCATGTCTGAGGACAGGGCAAAGGTGTTTGGAGGTCACAGATGCTGGTCTTTGAGGCACTTAGACTGGGCCAGGCCTATAGGTGAATTGGGGCTAAGGGACCAGGTGTGTTCTATCCAGGGTGGCAACTTTCTGAGGGGAGTAAGGGACAGAAATTGGGAAGAACAAAATTCTTGGTGGAATGGAGTAGCCTTTAAGATGTGAGGGCTGATCCTCTTGGTCTTTTCTCCTCAGCTCCTGCTTCAATGGAGGTACCTGTGTGGATGGGGTGAACTCCTTCAGCTGCTTGTGCCGTGCTGGCTACACGGGCACCCACTGCCAATATGAGGCTGACTCCTGCCTTTCCCGGCCCTGTTTGCATGGGGGCATCTGCAGTCCCACCCACTTAGGGTTTCAGTGTGCCTGCCGGGAGGGCTTCACTGGGAGTCAGTGCCAGGTGGGTTGATTTGCAGATCTCAGGAGAAGAGTGTCAAAGTCACATGGGGCATCCTGAAGGGAAAAGCGTTTTCCATTTCTAGGGTCTTCCCCAGTACTGACACTGAGGATTTCCTTTGTAGACCCTGGTAGACTGGTGCAGCCAGGTGCCCTGTCAGAATGGGGGTCATTGTGTCCAGACTGGGGCCTACTGTGTCTGTCCCCTGGGATGGAGCGGCCGCCACTGTGACATCCAAAGCTTACCCTGCAAGGAGGCTGCATCCCAGATGGGTGAGAGGAATCATGTGGCTGGGTGTGTGAGGCTATTGGGTGGTGTGTGAGTGCATACCTCCTGTTAGTATAAGTCCAATGAGGGTGCCCCGGACATGAGGACTTAATGGGGTATGTAGTTCAGTGTGTGATTGTGGGACGGCCAGCCAGGATGGTGTTTGCATCTGTGAGACAGTTGGAAAGGGAGTATATGACCAAGCTGGTATGAGCATCAAAACTGTATACATGTTGTGGAAGAGACCATGACAGCTCACAAGTTGCCTGTCAATCCTTTGGATCGTGGGTGAGACCCTAGGGACTGATGCC